CCCCCCCCCCCCCCCCCCATCCTCGGAGACTCAGAGGCAGTTAGTGGGGGCGCGGAAAATTCTAAACGGGCGAGAAAAAATTCGAGCGAGAAAAGTCTCGTTCTTGACTTTTTTTCGCCCGGACTTTTTCTCGTCCGTTTAGACTTTTGACTGCCCCTACTAACTGCCCCTGGGTCTCCGAGGATGGGGACCCCGCGAATTCGAATTTTCCATGTGTTTCTTGTTTTAAGAAATGTAATGTGTTGCGTTTTATGTCGATTTATGGAATAAATCGTTGAAATACATCTTTCATCTGCTTAGTTTCCGCGAGTGTTGTCACAAGTGCTTCTGTTGTTGTTTCCGTAAGTCGCCGAGGTCACAGCAGAAGGACAACCAATCAACACGAGCCATGAAGCAGGTTTTAGTGGATCAGTACAGAGCTCTGGGACCCATGTCGTAAGAATTACTTGACATTATTATCTGACTATGTATGCCAATACATACATTATCTGACTGGCTACGCCAGCAGGCAAGATGAACAAAATCCTCCACTGTGATTGGCTACACGACCGGGCAAGATGACGTTATCTTGGCCGAACGGGATTGCCCGCACGGGATTGCCCGCAGTGTCGTGCAAGAAAATAGTTGTTTTCTTATCACGAATTCTTTTTTGGTCAAGTTTTTATGGTTAATAGGGCTAGATATTGGTCTCGATCGTTTTTGTCTACACCATGACAATATTTGCGATAAAAGTTTCTTTTTACAAAAAAAGCAGACAGTTACCTTCAAACGTTTCCACGATAAGTTAAGAATTTTCGAACTTATTTATAGGACTCAAAACGGTTTATAAATTTAACTCTCTTTAAGTCTAAAAAAACTAATTTCTACGTAAAAATGTAACCACAACAATCGCTGCACGAAGTAACGCTTCATAACGTATTTACTTCAAACAAAGCTGAAAACGTTTTTGTAATAAACAAACATTTAGTCTGTCGTATTTTCAGGTTTGCCGAGAAAGCTGTCCTTGGTCATTTCATCTTGTTGGCCTTGCTGTGGCTCTTCCGTGATCCTAAATTCATCAAAGGATGGGCCATTATATTTGAGAAGGAGTAAGTATTAATTTGTCGAGATTTCCGAGTTTCATTCCAAGGTTATTGTGACCTCCTCGTTGCTTTACTTTTCAGTTTCGTTCGAGATGCCACTGTGGCCATGTTTATTGCATTCTCCTTGTTCGTGTTTCCTTCAAAAAGGCCAAGGATCTATGCACCTGATGGATCAGGTAAGTAATGGATAACTAAGTGAAACAACCTTTCGTCGGCTTATTGGCACAATACTGTCATGAGTTGTTGGGCTGTCGCAGAGCGGTAGTACCGCAGTCGTGCCATTATTGCACTGCCGGCAATCGTACGGCGGTCGTGTTGTAGTCGTGATGCGGTCGCCGTCGTGCCATAGTCGTACTGCAGTCGTATCCCAGTCGTTCTGTAGTCGTGTCATAAACGCATGCAATCGTACGAAAGTCGTGTTACAGTTGTGCTGAAGTCGTACCGCAATCGGACCATAGTCGTACTGCAGTCATACCCCAGTGGTTCCGTAGTCGTGTCATAATCGCATGCAATCGTACGAAAACCGTTTTATAGTCGTGCTGTAGTCGTGCCGAAGTCGTGCTATAGTCGAATGTCAGTCGTACCCCAGCCTATTCCCAGTCGTGTCGTAAGCGTGCCATATAGGCGTATTGTAATCGTACCGTAGTCGAGCTATTGTCGCATTGTAGTCGTGCAGAATTTGTGTCATACTCGTAATGCAGTCGTATCGCAGTCGTGCCGTAGTCGGGCTGTCGTATCACAGTCGTGCCGTAGTCGGACTGTCGTTCTGCACGCAGTCGTACCGCATTGCAAGCCGTACCACATTTCTGTCATAGTCGTGTTACGGTCGCATTGTACTTTGGCGATAGTGGTAAAGCATAGTCGTCCATAGTCGTACCGCAGCCGTTCTTCAGCCCTACCGTAGTGAATTTTTTTATTTAACATTTATTTTCAGACAAAACCGTCTTTGCTGTCGTATCGGTGTGTATGTCTTCTCTAACAGACATTGTTTTTATCATGCAGTGAACAAGCCGCCACCAGGCCTTCTGCAATTCAAGGAAATGTCAAGAAAGTTTCCATGGAATGTTGTCATCTTACTTGGCAGCGGGTTTGCTTTGGCAGATGCTTGCAAGGTAAAAAACAATTGCATGGGTACCCCATACGTGATCACGCTAACAAAGGGTCCGTGTATAGTCAGTTCTCGACAAATGCTGCATTACTAAATAAAATGATGATGGTGATGATGATGATGATGATGATGATGATGCTCACTTGTAGGTGAACGATGGGATGGTAACGATGTTGCGAATGGAACTGAAATGGATTCAAGGAAGAACTCTCTTTTATCGAGGCTCAACAGAACTTCCAAAAGTTTTATAAGGAACTCAACAGTGCTTGTTTACTCTTACTCTTTACACTAATACTAAATGTGTTCTTTTTATATATGACATCATCAGGTGTCCGGTCTGTCCAAGTGGGTTGGTTCACAGCTGGCCAATCTTGACGCTATTCCAAGTTATGCAATTGTTATCATTGTGTGTGTCATGATCACCACTTTCACAGAGGTCACCTCAAACACCGCAACCGCCACCATCTTTCTTCCGATTTTGGCCTCGCTTGTGAGTTCTTTTCCCACTTGGTGTTGTTCTAAATGTAAGGAGCAATAGTCATATATATGATTAACCCGTTGGAATCTGGATAGAACGCTGGGTAGAGTGATTTTGTTGTGTCCCTCACAGCCCCTCTCCCCATTATTATCAACCAGGAGTGAGAGCCATTCTGTGACAAAATCTGCCTTAGGACTTGACAGTACAGGCGGAACCTAGCAAGCCCTCTACAGAAAAGAACGAGGGTTGATATTCTCCCAGAACGGTCCCAAGCAATCTTGTTTAATAAAAGAGTTATTTAAAGACCATGTGATTGTAGAGGCTGGTAAAAACAGTCATAACCCGATTTAAGTTTTAGAGAATATTGTGCAGGCAATAATACATTCAGATTCTGACTGGCCCTCCTAGTCAAGTAATAGGGAATTTGGTATCCTTGAATTGTTTCCGAGGACAATTTGAAAAAATGCTCGAGGGTGTCCTTTGTAGCTTGCGTTGGCCAAGTATAACTCTACGTGTGGCTAGACTTAATGCAAGAAGGTGGAGATAAATATACTGTATACTGATAAATATACTTTGAGTTTCAAACCAAGTAAAATGCTGCGAGGGTGTGGGGAGACGGGGGAAGAGGTAAGACACAGGCTTTGCGATTCTTTTGTCCTTTCGAAATAAATATATCTTAGAATCGTCTTTGTACTTTTTTTTTTCAGGGAGAGGAGATTCGTGTTCATCCGTATTATCTTATGCTTCCTGCTGCCATTTCCTGCTCGTTTGCTTTCATGTTACCGGTCGCTACACCTCCAAATGCCATTGTGTTCGCTGGTGGACATCTGAAAGTGAAAGACATGGTATGTATGCCGGGCTCACTTTAGAAACTTGCGGTAGTCTGGAACGAGAGTGGGCTCGCGAGCATCTTTGGGATCGTTTTAGGGAAAAATAGTACACATTTGGGACAATACGAAGAGAACATAATTTCTTCAAGTCGTTCATTTTCAAAATAAGCGATTTAGAAAGATGCCGAACTAAGAAGTAGAGGTTTAATTTATTTAGCAGTGGGATAAAATCTGCAGATTATACGTCTATAAATTAGAAGTTCTACTATAGTAGTCACTAGCATTTCAAATCATTAAAACGGAAGGAAACTTGGATTTTGAATTCATAGCAGATTTACTTGAGCTTTAAGTAGGCTTTGCAGCATTCCCCTTACCTTAAAAAAACGCACACGAAATGCATTGAGTAATTTCTGCAAAATTAGTGTCAGTTTCAAAAGATTCTAATGAGCAATAACGCGAAGAAAATTGAGGCTGAGTTTTTACATCTCTGTTTTACCCGTGCACCGTTGTTTTATCTGAGGACGGAAAAGGAATTAGAAGGAAACAAAATCCACCATAAAGATTGGGTAGAAAATAAAGCGATTTAAACGTTTTTGAGTAGGGTATGGAACTGGGAAGATGTTAGAACATTGATATCTTTTAGGTTTTTATAAGAAACCGAGGAAGGGACAACCCCTTTAGAAGTTTATGGGTTGGGTATTAGGAGGTGGAATTTGAGAAGTTCTTTGGTTTGGGAAACTTAACGAGGGTTGCCATATAAAATAAGAAAAAAGCACTGTCCAAAACTTTCTTCTAATATTGTTTTTCCGAATTATTCATTATTTTGACGATTAGCCCATCGAACTTGACGCGTAAGCCTGAACGCGGAAAACGTGTAAATGAAAATTTTTCTTCTTATTTGTTTTTCAGGCAAAAGCTGGTGTGGGAATGAACATTCTGGCCGTCACAGTGTTGATGATTTGTGTGCACGCCTATGGTGTTCCTATGTTTGACCTTCATAATTTCCCGTCGTGGGCTGCAAGTGGAGGCCCAACACCAACCCCTACTCCTTCTGGCAATGTCACGCTACTTTGCGGCAATATCACGTCATCATAGGCTGCGCGCGCGTTCCTATTTTAGAGACCTGTAGGTCCTATTGTGAATACCAAATTTGATCGCAAGTTTCAAGCAAAACACCAAGAAAACATATGAATTCGAGAAGGCTTGCTTTTGAACTTTACGAACAATATAACTGACGAGATTAGTTTGTTTGAGGATAGTTATGCCGTTTTGAGGTTGTAATAACCTGTGAGCTTCACCTACCTGTCAAGGCCTAAATTTGTCTTAACACAACGATATTCCTAAAACCTCGTGGCAGTAAAGAAAGACTGTGATCACGTTTTCCTGCTAAAATGATTCTCCTTCACAGGCGCGCACTAATTTTGTTTGACAGCTCTCGTAATAATAATAATAATAATAATAATAATAATAATAAATAATAATAATAATTCATCTTGAAATGTATACAAACGACTTTACTTCATGAGTATGCAATGGTGCAAAATGCTGAATATTCTAGTTCTGATGTAAAACCTCCAAGAGAGAATGAAAGGTGAGGGAGTTCACACCACACCCCTACCCCCCACAGTATAGACCTTCTTAGGGTACATCTAGTGAATATTGCTGACACGCGTGTCTCATGGATGTTTAGTAGGGGATGAAAATGCGTATAAAACCGTTTGGGTTGTCCACGTGACCAAAGTCCGCGTCACAGGATTGGCTATGTCTAGGCCCCTCTGGGATTTCCGAAACCGGAAGTGATCTAAAAATAACTTAACGGGGATTACCTTGAGAATAAGGCCTAACCTGATACCCTTCATACTCTCTTGACAGCCTCACTTTAGAAAAACTTTGTACGAAATGTGTATGCTTTATTTGTAATAAATTTGAGAAGGCGTTCACTTGATCGGGTTTCTTTTCCTTTCACAGCTAAAAACCCCACTTTTAACGCAAAGGACCACTACCTATAAATGTTATTTCCATCCGAGTTTCTTTTTAGGCGAGCTGGGAGCCGTTTGAGCCGCGTCAAAACTCATAAACTCCAAATGCACAATACTAATCTTATTCTACATTCGACAAAAAAGCAGGAGAGAGGAAATGA